TGCTGCTGCTGCGGCTGCTAAATGTTGCTGCTTCTGCTGCTGCTGCGGCATGCTGCTGCTAAATGCTGCCGCTGATGCTGCTGCTGCGGCTGTTGTTGTTGTTGTTGTACACTATATGATGAGCTGCGATCAGCTGGGTAGTGAAAGTGATGAAAGAGTGTGCGTGTGTGTGAATTTATTGGACAGCTGACAGGCCGATGGGACCGGGTATGGAGAAACCTCAACCAATTCAGACTAATTGATTTAAAAATGGATCAATTTGAACTGGTTGAGGATGCAGCGGGCAGTGTAGAGTCCTCGCTATGGCGGAGTACACCCTGCATTTGTTGCTGCATGAGCGTCATCCAGCCCATCAGTCTGTCAAGCTGCTCCTGTTGTTTTTGCGCCATTGAGAGGAGCATATGATTTGGGTTGTTTTCGACCAGAAGTGGTGGCGGATTTGATGAGTGTTGTTGCTGCTGCAGCTGCTCTTGCAGCGGCAGTGTTGAAAATTGTGCTTGTTCTTCTTGTTGTTGCTGCTGTTGTTGTTGTGGTTGTCCAACTTCCACCTGCATAGGCACAGGTGGTTGTTGTGCAATGGGACGTGAGGTTAAGTTTTCAAGCATTTGGCGCTGCATTGAGACAATTTGCTCTCTGTTCTGGACAGGGTTCAGTTGCTCGGTTTGACGCTTCTGCTGTTGTTGTTGTTGTTGTTGTTGTTGCTGCTGCTGCTGCTGCTGTTGTTGAGCTCTTTGTACTTGAGCCCAACAAGCGCGTGGATCCAATGTATTGGATGAAGCTGGAGCTATGTTTGTTTTGAGTTTCTTGGCAGTTCTTGCCGAAATGTTGGTGTTATTGCTGCTATTGTTGTTATTGTTGTTGTTGTTGTTGTTGTTGTTGTTGTTGTTGTTGTTGTTTGGTGTGATAGATGCGTTGTATGTTGCAGCTGGTGTACTGGCAACAGTTTGTAACTGTTGTTGTTGTTGTTGTTGCATCGGCTGCAGCAACATCTGTCCACCATTAAGTTTGCGTTTCTTTTGTTTTTTCTTTTTATTTTTGTTTTGATTTGAGGTGTTTAGCATTGGTATTAGCTGCTGCTGCTGCGCCAATACCTGTTGTTGCTGCTGTTGCTGTTGCTGTTGCTGCAGCTGAGGCAGTTGAAGCTGCTGTTGCTGCTGCAATTGCGCTGGCAATTGTAATTGCATTTGCACAGGTATTGGGCGCAGAGGCTGCTTCTGCCGCCGCTGTGCATTCGGCTGTTGGGGCTGCCGAATTTTTGTTGAGCTATTTGTTTTATTGTTATTGTTGGGCATGGACAATAGTTTGGAATTGAGTAGTTCTATGTACAGGGGACAGCCCTTGTAATTTGCAGTGTGACTGTTGTTGCAATTGGCACATTTGGGTGGCAAATTTGCCGGTTTAGTGCAATCATTTGTGAAATGATTGTCACCGCATTTAACGCATCGCGGCGAATGCCGGCAATAGCGAGCCGTATGATTAAGCCTTTGGCAGCGGTGACATTGTGGCAGTCTTTTGCTATTGATTTTGGGCCACTCAAAGCGAACCACAAATTTGCAAAGAGTACGGACATTAAAAATGGTGCGATTTTTTATCGGATCAGGAGCTAGTTCTATGTAAAATAGATTAGGGCGATAAAGGCCAGAGCCGCTGCGATTCTTGAATTGTGGGTTGTATACGCTACGAGGCGTATAACCCAAACAAGATAACTCGTTCCGGATTGCGATGGTGCTAGTGGTGGCATGAATGCCACGCACCACAACCCGAAACGAGCGCTCCTCGCGTCTCTGGTAAGTGTTGAAATGATATGTATTGTCCGTTTCAAGGACATTGATGATTTTTAGATAAGTATCTAAAGTTTTTGGCAGTATACGCACTGAGCCAGGACCACCTAATTTCAGCCCATATTCAGTTATGGGCGGATTGTGATCGTTTAATTTGGCTACAAGTGCGTCAATGCCGTTTTGATTAGATTCAAGAAAATTGTAATCTATGTTGATCTGTGGAGGCTTAAAGTTTTTGGCCACTGGGGCCGAAGTAGCACCTTCATCAGTTTGTTGTTGTTGTTGTTGTTGGGGTTGGGGTTGGGATAGGAGAGAGGGGGCATGGGGATGCGTAGAAGTAGTAGCGGCATCGACAATGGCAGTCGAGGCAGTCGCTGTACCAGCGGTGGCAGCGAAAGTATTTGCCGCTTCTACTTGTACTGTGTTAAGATTGTTGACCGCCGGTATGGGGCGTTTGACGGAAGCCAAAGCAGCCTGCACTGCGGTGGCCAAAAAGTTACCAGACACATGTGGTTGTGAAGGGAGTATTTGTTGCCATTGCGGCAGTTGTGAAAATTGCTGAACAGGAGCTTCGAAATCAGATTCAGATAGGATGCTGAATCGATTGCTAATTAAATTGTTGCGAGTTGCATCCTGTTGTGTGGAGCGTGAGGTTGCCGAGTTTTGGCGATTAATTTTGCGCGTACTTTTACGGCGACTTTGTTTGACACTTTTACCAGTGTTGTGTAGCATTTTATAGTGCATTGCACCAGTGGTCGTTGCAGAAGCAGTGTTGCCACCAGGATGGCCAGAGCCAGATGTATTTCCAGAACTGGAATCGCTGCTAATGCAGATAGGCTTAGCTGGAGCTGTTATTATTGTTGTTGTTGTAGTTGTAGATGTTGATGTTGGTGTTGTTGAAACATTTGTGGTTGGAACAGGATGAAGAGATGCAGTTAATAGCAACATTTGAGCTGCATCTGAAGTGGATGGAATATCATCACTGCCCACAATATCTACGAACAATTCACTAGAAGAGTGTTTGTCGTTGTAATTGTTGGTATTGAGCGGAATAGGCTCATTTTGTTGTGGATTATCAACCTCGAGCTGAGCAATAAGGCGCTTGTAATGCGCTAATTGCGCTTGCGCTTCGGCTGGCATGTGTTTGTTATTTGTTGTCAAAGTTGTTGAGGTCGACGCTGCGTTTATCGCTTTTGAGCCGGCCGCCTGTACAGAACGCTGTCCCTCTTGCTCTGGCAATTTGGGTGCCAGAGATGAGAGGGCCGATGTAGTTGGGGCCATTGTCGCTGTCGGCGCCATGGCAACTGTCAAAGTTGACGGCGCACAATTTAATGGTGCCTGCTTAGGCGACATCGGTGACAATGAAAGGTCTGACAAGTCTGACATGAGGCCAGGAGATAGTGCCGACACAGCTGATGAATCAGTGGTCTGCGAAGGTTTGGCGTGCGACATGATCGAAATGGGTCTTGTCTCGGTAGAGAATTTCTTAGAATTATTTTTTCTTTTTTCCAGAATTTTATTTTATTATTTTTTTTTTTTCCAGGGATTTTCTGAGCTTTCCTGAATTTATTTTGATTTTTATTAAGGTTATTTAAATGTTTTATAGGTTATAAGTAGGTTTAATTATTATTGCTTATTATAAGAGAGGCGGCGGCACGCCCAAAAACAATAATATTATATTATGAAAGAAGCGACGTTTCAAAGTAGTGCAGAATAAAAGAAAATTCAGCTTGAGAGGACAAAGTGTTTTGCCGACGGCACGGCAATGTATATAAAAAAGTAATTTAGATGAGAAAAAAAAAAGTGTGTATTAATGTGTGTATGCCGACGGCACAGCAATATATATGTAATTTATAGAATATTGAAAATAAAATTGGTGTCGACACACCAGTTATGTAATTTATTATAAATATTAATTTTTTAGGAAAAAATAATGTGTGTTTTGCCGACGGCACGACAATTATTAAATGAATTATTAGAGCGAAAAAAGAAAACTAAAACGAAGACGGAGCGCTTGCAAATATTCCTAAATACAGTTGCTCAAGGTCAGCAATTGTGCAGCCTCAAAACAAGAGAGAGCAAGGAATAATGGCCGCCAAGCGAGAATTGCGCTCGTTTGTTTTGCTTAAAGTTTTGCTGGCTTGTTTTGATTCTTGCTATTCTTTGTTTACGTTTGTAGCGTATACGCAGATGGCAAGCGCGTGTGCGTGTGTGTATGTGTATGCGAGAGCAAGGTCAGTGATAGAGCGAGCCTCGCAATTCGGAGCACAGGAAAAATTGAAAGTAGGCGAGCGAAAAACTCGCTCGCTTATTCGTATTTGTTTTGATTCTTGCTCCGTCTATTGTTTACGAAAATCGTATATGCAGATGGCAAGTGCGTGTAGACAAGGGCAAGGGCAAGGACAAGTTTGAGTTTGTGTGTGTGTGTGTGTGTGTGTGAGAGCGTCAGCGTAAATATTTTTGGTGGCGACACACCATAAATGCGCTAATGCTTTTACACACAGTTGTGATTATTATTATTATTGTCGTTGTTGTCGTTGTTGTTGTTGTTGTTGTTGTTGTTGTTGTTGTTGTTGTTGAATTGCTAGCAGAGATCGATGACGACACATCGCAAAAGCAATATGATTGGTGTTGATTGGCGACGACACGCCTGCGTTATATTAATTAATTTAGCGGAGACACGCTGAATTTTGTATTTGATTGCCAGGATGAAGAGCTTGTGCTTGTGCTTGTGCTAGGATTAGCGTGCAAGCTGGCCAATTTAGCTGGTTCACCAACCGTTCGTCCTAGCTTCTTTCAAATTATCCAGAGGATATGGTGGTGAAATTATTTGCTGATGGTTGTGAAACCCGGATGAAACTTGTAAAAGTTGTGGAGAGAGCGCAAAGTGTAGAGCATAAGGCACTGGAGCGTGCGTATGAGCGACGGCACGCCAACTAGTTGCGTTTCTTGCTCAGCAAATATGCAAAAAGAAAGGATTCCGTAGGAATCACTATGCGCGTCACTTGTGATGATGGTACACAGAGGGGGTTTTGGTGGGGTGTATATATAGATTTATCTGTATGTATGTATGTATATGTAAATTTGTGTGTCAGTATATATGTATATGTGTTGTGGTGTATTGAGATAAATATGTATGTATATGTATGTTAATGTTAATGTTTGTGCATGTGTAGGAATTGAGTGAATAATGTTCTTGTTGTTGTTGTTGTTGTTGCTGCTGCTGCTGCTGCTGCTGCTGCTGCTGCTGCTGTTGCTGCTGCTGTTGCTGCTGCTGCGTTATTGCAGTTTGAGCGTGTGCAAATGGCTCAAGTGTGCTAGAGGAGCATATAATATATATATGTGTGCGAGTGTGTGATGTGCGCGTCGCTTTTGCGCTATTGTTTTAATTGATACAGTTGCGCGACAGCAACTATTTCTTCTATTGGCGTCTATATGCAGCAACTAAATGCTGTAATGGCGTCAAATCAGAATGCGCACGCACACACCTACCTATATATGTTTTGATATATGTTTTGTGTTGAGTTGATTAAATGTTGTTTTGTTTTACCTTGTCTTTTGTTTGAAGTAAATGTTTGTGAATAGAGCTCGTATACCTTGTATAGGTGTTTTGATTGTTGGATTTTGTTGGATTAGTTAAAATGTTTTTTTTTTTTTTTTTTTTTTTTTTTTTTATTTTTGATGTATTAGATTAATTGAAATTGTTAGTGATGGGTGTATTGTATTTATTAATTGGGTAATTGGGTAATTATAGCACAGTTGATTATTAAAGCAATTTGTTTGCAATTTGATGGCTGTACTTTATTGATGATGCATTTGGCGTCGCGTCACTATGCTATACACATACACATGCGTGCATATGGGTCGCTAGCTGAGCGTCCGACGCGTGCCGTGTATGTATGTATGTATGTATGTGTGTGCGTGCGAGCGCCAGCGTCTATGCCAGACAGCGTGGCGTCACTTTTTCTTCTTCTGCTATATGCACTGCACAAAGACAAAGACAAAGACAAAGACGCAAGGGAGACGCGCACATAGATCACTCACTATTGTTACATGCATGCATGCATGTATGCTTGCATGCATGTATGCGCATATGAATGCGCTTTTGTAGAGCATGTACAGGCTGTACCCACGCGTACAGCTCGTTTGATTTATGCGCACTTATGTATTGATATTGATATTGATATTGATTTATATATATGTATATTGAGATATATGTGTGCGAGAATATATGCCACTAAGCACTGTTTGATCGCGTGACCGCAAGAATTTTTCAATAATTAATCAAAATTAAATTCAACTAATATGATTTGCAATATAGCACATTGCACACTAGAAAAATTCTTGACCGTTTACTGATTAACTGTTGCGTGAGACGAATTTCTATTTCAATTTACAGCCTTCACAAAAACTGACCATCAGACACTCGTCCGTGAGCACGTCCGTTCACTTCAAAAGACAAAAATCAACTCATTTTTTTCTGGTTGTATAGTTTTGAATGGGAAGCCGGGTCAGGATGGGACAGGATGAGAAATGGGACATGGCGGACGCTGAGCACTCGCTCGCTCATTGGCCCGCTCTTGCGAGCGAGCTGGTGGGCGAGAGAGTGAGTGTGTGAGTGAGTGTATGTGTGAGTGAGTGAGTGGGAGAGATACAATGGCTGGATAAGTGCATGGTACAAGGGTGAGCGTGTGTGTGAGTGCGGGAGCAAGCGAGTTAGTAGTGGGACGGCATTATGGCGTCCGCTCAATTTTAATTCTAACTACTCTCTACCATGCTCCCTGTCACACACACTGGTCTCACGCAAGGCACCAAACTGTCAGTGTATCTTCGGCATCGTTCACCCACCCATCCATCCACCCGCACAGACAGACTCAGACGAATCCTGATCCGCATGTGTCTCATCCCGATCCAAACCACCGACCGATCCGACTCCCAATTCCAGAAATTGTTTATTGATATACGTTCATTGTTGATTCTCATTAATTAGCCTTATAATTTATACAATCAATTGTGTGTGTGTGTAAGTTTGTGTGTTAAATGTAAGTGTGTACACATATATATATATAAATGTATATTGTGTGTGTGTGTGTGTATGATAAGTGTAGGTGTGTACATATGTGTAGGTGTACATTGTGTATGTGTGTGATGAAATTAAATTAAATTAAGTTAAATTAAATGTACATATAAGTTATGATTATATATATTATAATAATAATAAAATTATGTTGTCTCTTCTATGTTGAGAAGTAATAGATTACAATTGAGTATTGTGTGATAAATGGCAATATTTGAAAAAGAGAACGTACAATTAGTGTATGTGCGGCATCAGCATTTATATGTTATGCCATAGGCCAGCAGTTGTCATAGAGCCATGCAATCTTTAATAATTAGTGAGAGAATTTATTTTATGGATTTTAATAATTTCCTTCTTTTTTTTTTTTTTTATTTTATTTTTATTTTTTTTTTTTTTAAGTTTGATTGGAAATCGTTATCATTGTTTTTATTGGATGTTGCAAGATGCGGACATCTTTGTTATTTTGTGGGAAGGATGCATGTTGGTCACGGTCATGTTAAATCGACACAAAGTGTGTGTGTGTTCCCGATGGGCCACTCCACAAGGCACAACAGCGGTCGACCGTGCCGGATTATTTGTATTATTACCCAGTATATTAATGCTGGGTGTCATGTGCAATTCTCAATTTCCCAATTTTATATATATATATATTTTTTTTTTTCCTTTCTCTTTTTTTTTTTTTTTTTGATTTTTTGAAAAAAGATATTCCCCATCCTGAAGTTTATTCAATCCACATCCAATCTAAAAGTAGATAAATATCGCTTCTTATTTTTTTTTTTTGATAGTTAATTTTGATGGTGTTTTTCGCCTAGTGCCTTCTCTCGATTAATTATTAAAAATTACTTTTAGCACTGGCTGACTATCTAAAAATAAGCACAGTGATAACGTTAGATATCTATGATAGGTAGATAGTGGGCAGGGGGGGGCATTGAGAATAGAGTTGTTATGAGTTTTGTAATTGTTTTTTTTTTTTTTTTTTTTTTTTTTTTTTGTTTTGCTTTGTTTTGTTTTGGTTTTGTTTAGGCTAAGTATGCATGCATGCGCGCATGTATGCTAGTTTGCTTGTTAGCGTGCATGCGTGCGCGCATGAGTGCATGTGTGCATGTGTGGATTGTTTGCATGTGCGCATGTGTATGATTTTGTTTTCTTATTTATTTTTTGTTTTTAATTCTTTCAATTGTTAGTATTTGGAATAGTATTAAATATGTTTGGGTATATGTGAATTATAATGTAAATTATTTGCTATTGTATTTGTGTAGTATAGAATATGTGTGTGTGTGTGTGTGTGTGTTTTTATATATTAGTAATTGATGTGTTAAGTGGATGTTGGTCATATTGACCGATTTGATGGCGCTGTTGTTTTGATGATGATATTGTTGTTGTTGTTGTTGTTGTTGTTGTTGTTGTTGTTGTTGTGGCTGCTGCTGCTGCTGCTGCTGCTGCTGCTGCTGCGGCTGTTACGGCAGCTGATTTTGATGTTGCTGCATTTGCTGCTGCTGTTGCTGCTGCGGCTGCTGCTGCGGCTGCTGCTGCTGCTGCGGCTGTTGCTGCTGCAGCTAATTACTACTGCTGCTGCTGCTGCTGCGGCTGCTGCTGCTGCTGCGGCTGCTGCTGCTGCTGCGGCTGCTGCTGCTGCAGCTAATTACTGCTGCTGCTGCTGCTGCAGCTAATTACTGCTGCTGCTGCTGCTGCTGCTGCTGCTGCTGCTGCGGCTGCTGCTGTTGCTGTTGATGTTGCTGTGCTGCTGCTGCGACTGCTGAAGCAGCAGCGGCTGCTACGGTGGCTGTTGTTGGTGCTGCTGCTGCAGCGGCTGTTGTTGATGTTGCTGCTTTTCTTGCTGTTGATTACTGGTGCTGCTGCTGCTTGCGGCTGCTAAATGTTGCTGCTGCTGCTGCTGCTGCTGCGGCTGCTAAATGTTGCTGCTTCTGCTGCTGCTGCGGCATGCTGCTGCTAAATGCTGCCGCTGATGCTGCTGCTGCGGCTGTTGTTGTTGTTGTTGTACACTATATGATGAGCTGCGATCAGCTGGGTAGTGAAAGTGATGAAAGAGTGTGCGTGTGTGTGAATTTATTGGACAGCTGACAGGCCGATGGGACCGGGTATGGAGAAACCTCAACCAATTCAGACTAATTGATTTAAAAATGGATCAATTTGAACTGGTTGAGGATGCAGCGGGCAGTGTAGAGTCCTCGCTATGGCGGAGTACACCCTGCATTTGTTGCTGCATGAGCGTCATCCAGCCCATCAGTCTGTCAAGCTGCTCCTGTTGTTTTTGCGCCATTGAGAGGAGCATATGATTTGGGTTGTTTTCGACCAGAAGTGGTGGCGGATTTGATGAGTGTTGTTGCTGCTGCAGCTGCTCTTGCAGCGGCAGTGTTGAAAATTGTGCTTGTTCTTCTTGTTGTTGCTGCTGTTGTTGTTGTGGTTGTCCAACTTCCACCTGCATAGGCACAGGTGGTTGTTGTGCAATGGGACGTGAGGTTAAGTTTTCAAGCATTTGGCGCTGCATTGAGACAATTTGCTCTCTGTTCTGGACAGGGTTCAGTTGCTCGGTTTGACGCTTCTGCTGTTGTTGTTGTTGTTGTTGTTGTTGCTGCTGCTGCTGCTGCTGTTGTTGAGCTCTTTGTACTTGAGCCCAACAAGCGCGTGGATCCAATGTATTGGATGAAGCTGGAGCTATGTTTGTTTTGAGTTTCTTGGCAGTTCTTGCCGAAATGTTGGTGTTATTGCTGCTATTGTTGTTATTGTTGTTGTTGTTGTTGTTGTTGTTGTTGTTGTTGTTGTTGTTGTTGTTTGGTGTGATAGATGCGTTGTATGTTGCAGCTGGTGTACTGGCAACAGTTTGTAACTGTTGTTGTTGTTGTTGTTGCATCGGCTGCAGCAACATCTGTCCACCATTAAGTTTGCGTTTCTTTTGTTTTTTCTTTTTATTTTTGTTTTGATTTGAGGTGTTTAGCATTGGTATTAGCTGCTGCTGCTGCGCCAATACCTGTTGTTGCTGCTGTTGCTGTTGCTGTTGCTGCAGCTGAGGCAGTTGAAGCTGCTGTTGCTGCTGCAATTGCGCTGGCAATTGTAATTGCATTTGCACAGGTATTGGGCGCAGAGGCTGCTTCTGCCGCCGCTGTGCATTCGGCTGTTGGGGCTGCCGAATTTTTGTTGAGCTATTTGTTTTATTGTTATTGTTGGGCATGGACAATAGTTTGGAATTGAGTAGTTCTATGTACAGGGGACAGCCCTTGTAATTTGCAGTGTGACTGTTGTTGCAATTGGCACATTTGGGTGGCAAATTTGCCGGTTTAGTGCAATCATTTGTGAAATGATTGTCACCGCATTTAACGCATCGCGGCGAATGCCGGCAATAGCGAGCCGTATGATTAAGCCTTTGGCAGCGGTGACATTGTGGCAGTCTTTTGCTATTGATTTTGGGCCACTCAAAGCGAACCACAAATTTGCAAAGAGTACGGACATTAAAAATGGTGCGATTTTTTATCGGATCAGGAGCTAGTTCTATGTAAAATAGATTAGGGCGATAAAGGCCAGAGCCGCTGCGATTCTTGAATTGTGGGTTGTATACGCTACGAGG